ATTCGGATCCTATGATCGTTCTCATGCACCTTCCATGTTCCAGATGGCAAGAATCGGAGTAAAATTACGGAACCGTCGGTCACCAACGTTTCGGGTAAACAATAAATTCTCGCATTATGACAAGAGTTGAGTTTGTGAAAGAAGGGATCGGACGGTTAAAAAAGGAATTCAGCACGTCACGATTTTTCCATCAAAGAAACCATGGAATTTCAGTATGACCCATCCAAAATTCCTGATACACAGCAAGATTCGTATGCGTGCTGTTTTTTGTTTGATGCATTATTTTTGTGGCGTGCGTTTAGGACGCCGTCATTCGAATCTAATTCGATAATAAGGAGAAACAGAATGGAGAAAATCTATCAGCCTATGCAAATGTACTGCATTAAATTTTAAATTTTTCACAAGTGCACCGCCGTGAAAAATACCCGCAAGCGATTTAAACATCCAGTCGAAACTGCAAATGAACGAATAAACTTGGTCTGCTCATTCAGATGCATGAGAGGTGAAGAAGGAATGTCTTTTTTCACTGTCGACCCGTATTTGGGACTGTTCGTGCATCATTTGTTTATTCTACACCTCCTTTTACAAGAAAACTGGAACTTTATTGTAAAGAAGCGAGTATTCGGCGAATGAAATGTGTTGGGTTGTTGTACATGATTTTCTTTTTTTAGCAATTTATTTATGGTATTTGATTCCAAATTCCTTGTATGCTGTGCTGTGACATGCGTGACTTGTCATAAGTGTGGATCGATGAGAAACTTATTAGCGATGATAAATATGGAACGTCAATGAGTAAACTGATTTAACGTGAGTCTATTCACCATAGAATTTCAAGAAGTGATGGTATGCATACGTAATAGTAGAATAAGAAGCGTTGTGTGATGTATGGAAATGGTCAAGAATGATCATCGTATAGAAACCTTGTTCACCTTTACTAATATTACAGGTGCACACTCTGAAGTCATCTGACAGTCGTCGTATGCCATTTTAAAATATGGGTGTGCACGATAGGTGTGGTCGATCCCCGTGACGCTTGACGTAAATTTGATCTCCCGAAATTTAAAGATAGGGATAGTTGATGTTTGTATTATTTATTATTGTATGCACTTCATGATGAAACAGAATGCGTAAATAGAAATTTAGGGTCTGAGATTTTGAATTAATGTAACTTTTTAGCTGATTTCGATAATCAACGATCGATCCGTGAAATTGTG